TCCTATTTGATGTAATATTTGTCGTATTTTAAAAAACAACATGCTATTCGAACAAGCGCAGAAGAATTGGTCCCACAATATTTTAACTTTTTCCAAGCCTTCGGCACTTTTGTACGTTTTAATATTAGAAACAGATACATATATGTCACATACGTTCTCAATAGTTGAAAGCTTTAACGTTGAATTATTCTACTCTTCTTACATAAATAACAACGCAATACCGAACAGTACGGATCTTCGCTCTGCTTTCATTTTTCATTCGCCCGTCAGTTCTGCGCGCAACTCCGATCCGGGTACAGAATGCAAAACGATCGCAGTTTCTCCGTTTTCTTCACTCCTTCTCCCCACCCACAAACTTAAACAAATAATGGGCTACGAGTTGTGTGGGTAGAAGCGCACGGTGGAAAAACGAAGAAGACGTCGGTATAATGGCTGCATGACGTACAGCGCGTTCGAGCATAGCTGAGAAAGCGAGGTGATTTGCGTGCACCGGCTTTCTCACTTACATCAGATTAATGGCAGCGCCGAAACAGCCGGATGTTAGACTAATTACGAGAGAAATTAAAACTACCGCCGAGAATGCATAAGCAGTATATATTCACATTCGTCTAATATGCGCCTGGATCTAAGATCTTATTTTTCATAAAACTTATGTGAACATTTATTTTACTTATGTACCGGTACAGAATATAAAACAACTACTTATATTTATTAAATCATTCTTACGGCGGTTATAACAAAATGTAAGCATACATCGTTTAAATATTAAATTAATTACAGAATTTTGTTGGTATAATTGATGAAAGAAAAAGTATTATTTGATTAATTTTATATTAAATTATATATAAGAATAAAAATTGTATTAATCACAAAAACGAGAAGATCGTGTAAGTAATGCGTGCTGCATAAAAGTGGGAAGAATACATGGTGCAAGAAGAAATATCGAAAAACGGTTGATATAATTGGCAATTATAAAACATCGAGGATAGTCATCGCGACATTGAATTATGCATCCGTTGAATTTTCGTTGGAATGCATTCCCGTCGATCAATCTCGCGAGCTTCAAGCTTACTCGAGCGCAGCTGGCTGCGATAAACTGTAATGGTGGTGAATAAATCAAAACACGCCCAGCATAATCGCGAGCCGTACCTCAGTGTTTTCATTCAAAATTTGGCAGGGGAACGTGGTTCATCGGTCCCATTTGCGTCGGGTCCGCGCGCCTTTCTTCGGCCCCCGCGAAGAAACTGAGAAGGGCCCTAGGCAGCTCTCGCAGTTTCATTTATCATTTGGCAGTCCGCCAACCCGGCAATTATTTCTTTTCCGCAATTTCACGCACGGCAAACGTATATTTGCAAACGCGTGTGCGTAAATCAGTACGATACTGAAAAGTATCGTTCTGATTTATGATCTGATTACGATCTGATTACGATCTGATTCTGATTACGATCGTTCTTTTCAGTATCGTTCTGAATAAATCACTAAAATTATTTTTACGTAACTCGAAAGTGACAATAATAGTAGGTAAAATTTTGAATGTACTAGACGAATTGATATATTCGCCAAAAATAGAAAAGTTACAATTTAATAGTTGTTAATATCACTATGTTGAATTTACTTGAATTGGAGATAAATTTCATTCACATATTGCAATTTATTCTGTATAAAAACAAGTGCGCATGATTTTCTATGAAATAAAAATTTCTCTGATGTTTAATGTATAAAACGAGTATACGAAACGCTTTCACAACACTGAATCAAAATTATCGCTCTTGTTAAGCGGGACATAATCGCGAATGAGATCCGTGTGCAGATCGATGTTACTCCATGGTTCACGGATCCAACACAAACGCTACAATCTTCGCGGATGTAGATCTGACAATGACTTAAATATTTTATCAACTTTCGACATTTTATATTATGTATTTCTGAAAATTATTTTATGTGATTTTTACATACAATAGATTATGGATTATAGATTTTGTTGCGTTTAATAATATTACGCTCTTTTCAACTTAATGTTTAAATGTCCGTATGCGTTACTACTAAAATATAAAAATTCTCACGGTTACATAGTCAAAATGTTGCAAAAGAATATAAGTCTAATTAAACTCTTACTTATAATTAAATGTAATAATAAATTACGATCGCGATATAATCCTGAGAAGGGAAAACCGTAGAAATTCGCCGCAGCTTATATCTCGTGAAAATTAAACGATCAATTATCGCGCTGATCATTCGGTCGCTTGTGTGCATCTTATGATACATCGACATGCGCGATTGAACGTCCACCTCCCCGGTAATTTCTCCATCTTAGTCCGAGGTACCGTATTTAGCGGCGGATAAATTTGTAATAAATCGCCGCGTGCCGCGATTACGCCTCTTCCGTGGTTCCGACTCGCGCGATTCTTACGGTCGACGGTCGCGTGGCATCGTGTGCCGTAAATCCTCGTAAAGAGACACGGAAGATTGCCTATAAAAACGCGTGCCATTCCTCTCTGTAACATTTTGTCGCGGTGACGCCTCCTCGACCACGTTACACCCGATCTTGATCTGCTTGGAAGCATCAAGTCCACTACCGTTATGCTCGTGCGTTACATTTTCATTGAGAAATAAAACCTACGCTTTGTAGCCTGTCTTTGAACTGTATGAAGGTTAAAAATACGCGTTGCATTTTTTTTAACTCGTCTCACTCTTCCGTAAATTTCGTAAAAGGATTCGAAATGCTTTTTTTTCTACACAGTATTGACAATATTCAAAATGTTTCACAGCAATTAGTATTCTTTTGCTGCAGTCTTTATCTTCTTTGTTTCTCGAGTTGTACGTATCTGTTGGTGATCGCAGAGAAAAGACTTTTCTTCGTCGGAGACCTTTACTATAGACTACTGTATAAAAGCTATCGTGTGTGATTCTCACGTACCTAAGCTGCAGATTTTATTTACAAACCAGGTAATATCGGCCTCGAAGAATTCTCACGACTAAAATTATTATACTTCGTCAAATCGTTACTCCCGGAACAGTCGGTTCACCTCACGTCCGACAATAGGAATTATAGTTATACCGAAGGGGTCAAGTTTGCATAATTCGCGTAAAGCGTTTACAATATGCCTGATAGTCATTCATCATCCCTCACGTGACGGACGTTTGCCGTGATTGTCTGTAGTGTAGCCCATCGAACGGTGTATAATACCCTCCTAATTGGACTTAACCTGGATCATTATTCTAATACCATCTCGTCTGTACAACACGGCAGTAAGCGCGTCGTGTGAACTTTCCATAAATCGTGACAGCATTAACAAATGCCCTTTGCCGAATGCTAATGACGGCAATTAACTGCTTCTCGGATGAGATATTACTTGGAGAAACCATTAAACTATACTATCCTCGTGTCGAAAGTGTATCTTTTAAAGGGTATATATTACATATTTCATGGCACATCATAAAATCTATAATATATATTTATAAAATATGACTTGTTAACATTATTAAAATAATATGTAGATTGATTTTATTAAATATTCGATTAGAAATGAATAAATGAAAAAACTATGATAATACAAAGATCTGACGGCATAAAATAAAAAAAACTTTTATGTAATTTTTTCTGTGTATATATATATATACAGAAAAAAATCTAATAATATGTATTTATGTATATGTGTGTGTGTGTGTATGTATATATATACACACACACATATACATAAATACATATTATTAGACAGAATAGCAGCGCACAACTTTCATAGATGCATTTCGTATGGCAACGTCGTATTTAACACAGGCTTTTATCGAGAATCAGGCAACGGTACCACACCGATACTCCCAGAGCGGATGTTTCCCACTGAATAAGTAAGAATGCCGTTCGAAAACTCGCTTCTCCTACACTGTCTCTCCTTTGTCGCCGCAGTCGCTCATCGTTAGTTGCGTTCTTACTACGGCTCTCGTAACGAGATCACCCATTCACGGTCTTCCCGTCCGTTCAAAGCCCGAGTGTTAAGCTCCGCCTTTCAATCTATTTTTGACAGATACGTCGCGTGCCCGGCCTCACACCTGGCCATCCTGCTTCCGACATCTGTACGCTCCCGCTATTTCGCGTAGGTCCCCTTTCCACGAATCGATCTCTTTTTCCAGAGAGATCGTAACCATCCGATCCGATCCGATACCTGCACCATTCGTTCCTCCCTCTGTGTATTTCCTCAAATAATTTCCCATAGAAATGCAGGAAACTCTTAACACGCAAGTCTTTCTTTTGTAATCTAAAGTGTTTCAACTAACGGACTGTCGCTTTTTTTATATGAACAAAAAATAAGCAAACTTCTTCTCCTTACGTCGAGAGCATTTTGCGAAATGTGGACTTGATACAAACGGGCAGAGCGTTTCATTGTCAGATACGTAGTACGCAACAGATAGAAAAAAAGCGAAAGCAACGTCCTGCCTTTCTACCAAACACACATGTATTTCCCGCTCGTGTACACTATCGCACGAATGTGTAATGAAACAATCCAATGCGCACTCTCCGAGTGAAATGCAAACGCACATATTTCACTCAGAGTGCATTCGATCGTCCTACACCTTCTTGTAGCATAGTGATATACGTGAACAACAAATACTCATGCATTTTACAAAGAGGAGGCCGGGACATTGCTGTCGTTTCTCTTTTCTATCTCTTTCAGCTTTACGTTCAACAATTCCACACTTGGGAATGTTCAGTTTATCTACTTTTATACTATCTAGTTGCTTTACATTGACATGAATGTAATGCATATATAATTTAAATAATATATCAATTTTTAATTATTATCTGCAATTAGATTAATTTATTATCATATGTTATAAATTTATTAAATATAAGTTAAACTTAATATAAAAATAGGATGTAGTCTTAATGTAAATTAAGTTAATTAAATATGTTATAATAAATTTAGAAAGTAGGATTAGGTATTCATTTTTAATAAAATTATAATTTTAAAGTTAAAATTTATTTATTCGAAATAGCAATATTTTTAAATAAAATTTTATTATTTTAATAAGTTTTATAAAATAAATGTTATTGAAAATTTGAAAATTATACCGCACTATTTTATGAAAGGTATTTCGATTTTAAATTCCGCTGCATTTGACTAAGCTAATCCCAAAGGGCCGTGACGAGAGATGAACCGGAAACTTTCCCAACCGACCTTTAATTGAGCATTCGGGCCATTCTGATTATACCGATGTTATTATCGAACCAATTCCCTTGAGAAATCATTGTTATTTCTGTCACGTGGCGATAGGATCGATTTTTTTTATATTCTTCGCTCACGATTCTTCCGCGTTTCACGTTTTTCACATTCACGAACTACCATAATCGCATATAATAATCGTAAGTTCGCAATAGAGGTATGAATCACGGTTCGGTGATATCAGAGCAATGCCTCACTGTCCAATCCTCTGTGTCTAAAGTTATAATCGCAAGTCGCGTGCTCAGCATTCTGAATACCTTTTGTTTTAAGACGAATGTATTTTCGACACGACAACTCATAAATTCTTAACCGCGTACATATATAAATGCTTGTCAAATTAAAATCATCGATGAGATCATATAGGGGAAAATAAAAGTTTTCTAATAATATTTTCTCAAACAAGAATCTATGTGAACTATTAAAATTTTTTTCGTTAAGTAAGAGAATAGTTTATGTGGACATGTATATTTTAGAAATAAGCGATTTTTCTAACAATCTTTTCCGGTATTTTTTATTTAAAGTAAATATCTTGAAAAACGAAGTGGCCTAATTTCTTGATTTAACTTCGGAACAGCGGTGTCTGTCGTTATTTATTTATGTATATTTATAAACTTTGTTTATGTTTAGAAACGAAATCTGTTTTCACTCCACCTCACTTCTGAACGCAAAAATTCCTCCCACGTTTAAGTCACTGCATATACTAAACTCTTTGAAGTTTCCTACGGCCTACGCTGACGGGATTCGTCGGTCGAAATAGAGGTGACTGCTCAGCGATGTGTCGCCATGTGCGCATAACTAGCCCGTCTCACGCATAAATAGGATCGTCTGCGATGCGCGTTTGCGTTGGCGAACTTAGTCGCGCGTCTGTTTAACGAATAAAGATGCTATTATAACGCGGATCGTGAAGTTCCATTATGCTTCTTTTTTCTTTGTCAGAAAATCTTTATTAGATTGATATATCTTGAAATTCTACTTTTACAACTGATTTTATAAAAATAATTAAAATGTGTTAAATCTTTATTAAAGAATTAAAGATGTGCACTCTTGAAGAAATTTTTTGGAATATATATAAATTTTTAATTCAAAATTAATGAGTGTAATAATTAATTTCAAATTCTAAAGATAAGTAGCAAAAATGAACAAATCGAATTTAGTTCACTATTTTAGGCTTCGTAAAGAAAATCGCTAGAGACCAACCCTTTCTCGACGAAACAGTTCGCTTCCGTTCGCTTATATCAACCGACGCTATTCGTGTTCTTAATATGGCGAAGTTAGAAAAGAAACAGTTACATTCGGGACGATATAATTTAGTACACTAGGCACGTTCAACTGCACGCAGACCCCAACAGTTCGACATCGTTCTCAGCTTTCTTCTAGGAAGGAATATTTGACATCATTATTTCATTATCTTTTGGTTTATTAATATGAATCTGCTTCATGCTTTATACACGATAAAATAGTAGAATATTAGATAAGAATCTAATAATAGTACTAATGTTTTAACTCTAATGACGTACTAATTATTTTTAAAAGCATCGTGATGATCTCATATTCGCCTTCCTTTTTTCCCCGAGCAATTTATTTCCTCCGAATAGCTCAGACCCAGGTCAAGCAATCCCGAGGATTGGCGCCGGTGTGACTCACCATCTTTCTCGTGTCATCGGTGATCTATTTCCGCCACCCGGTATATTAATCCAGACACGCAGATCGACGAGTGCCCCGTCGCGCGCGTCGCACACAAACAATAACGATAATGACTTAACAGGCCCATCTGCCCATCTAGGTACGAACAGGGGTGAAGGAAGTAGCGGGCCTGCTGGAAGTCACTGTCAACGACTTTAAATGATGATAATGGAAATCAATCTATCCCCCGAGACGTGCGTGTCTCGCGCGTTCACGCATGAGCGATCCTATCGTACGCTTGTTAGATTTACTATAGCCAATGCTTTTAATTACACGTAGTAATTTTCTTACGATTCTGCACGACAAGACATAAAAGTTGATTAGATAGCGTAAAAATATTTGTCAGATGTATGATAATCGACTAAAACATGCTTGTCCCAGAAAAAAAATTTTTTTAATTTTCAAAAATACATAATTTAATCTGTGATAATGTACGGATTCTACATAGTAAAAAAAATTATCTTTAATATCTTTTCTAAATATATAAAATTTTAATTTTTCCAAATTATCAAAACTTTTGTAATTTAAAATATTTAAAGCTAATCTTTATAGATTATGTTATATGTACAATCATTCCTAGTCTCGTAATAGTTTCCATTTCAACCCACTCGTTCCTCTTGCAGAATACTATAATTCTCGCGATTGTTGATGTCAATTACATTCATTCCGCGTTTCATTGGATTTCTCCTATTCGGTTTTCACCGTATACACATGCGTTATGCATCAGCGATGTACGCACTGTTCGATGTACGCTCGACGCGCTCGGCTATGACACGCACGACCTGCGCTTTTCAAAACGCGGGCTTTTTTCCGGCGCTCTCACGCCGCCAGCGTTGATCACCGGTGGACAAAGAAGACGACCGGAAGTTTCGCGCGGAACGGGATGCGGACGTTTTTACAGAAAGCTCGCGGAAAAATTGGTCCCCGTAACGCAATAATGCGCACACGCGCGCAGTAACACGGGCCGGCCGGTACAATGCGCCGGTAATTGATCGTGAAGGGGCTAGCTGACGTATCTTCCAGGAACGGATTTGTGTCGGCGAAATGCCGCTACTTTTTTTATTCCGCCTAATGAACAATCGAAGTCGCTTTCAGCGTGCATGCGCGATTTACGATTCCGCGAAAGTGAGTTCGACGCGTGGGACGCGTGACGAAGCGTGTGTTGCCGCGTGCGTTGCTATTTTATCATCGCTTCCTAGCTGAAGTCTGGTAATTGAAAGAGTGCAAGTGACTGAAGGAGATCTATATCACAATCCAGCGAAAGTTGATTTATGCGCGCGAATATAAATCAACTATTTTTCATTGCATTATTTATATATTATTAACTCATTAACTGTCGTAAATCAAACACAGATAATCGCGCTCATGACGCGTGTCGGGATAATGTTAATACGTATAGGTTTACACTTAGATTCTAAATTGTACATTGTGGTGCACAGATACATATTAGGTCGTAAATTAGAAATACAAATTTATAACAATTATCTACCGGAAGCAAATTAGTAAAATGACACCCAGCAAAGCGGAAAGAGCGGGTACTATCCATTTTTCACGAGTCTGACTCATTGCCAGGCCAGGTGAGGTGAGCTCTCACCCGGCATAAGGGAAGAAAAAGGTGGTCCCCCTGCTAATTTCGCAAACTTCCGATTACACCCCGTCATAATTATCGCGCCGTCATTTCCTTTATTCGCTTTCCGAGAAAGCGCTGCGCTTTCGTCCAGGAAGATACCCTCGCAGTGAGCGCACCAGGATACCTTTGTTCGATGCGGAAATGTGTCGTCAACGGTAATTACGTTGGATGCCAGTCAGCCATAACACCGATAGACGACCCATTTTTTTCCTTTTTCACTCGTCTCGCGATTATGCTCGCGGGGAAGAAATTCCATGTGTCCATCGAAGATAAATGTCCTGTCAGTCAGGAAGTTCCAGGAACTGGCGTTATACGAAATCGCGCGTATGATTTTAATGAAACAAGATTTGGTTTACATATATCGCGAATTTCGATAAAAATATTTATAGATAATTGTCAGAAAATTTGTAATACCTTGATCGAAAGTTCACGGTACTGTTAGTTTTTATTTCTAGATTTGGAGAACGTAAGTCGCGGTATTTTATACGCTCTGATCAGTCATGATGGAATTCAAGACAGAATTGCATCTGCAGATTTTGTGCGAGAGGGGCCTCGCGATAATAAATATCGACCTCTCGAAAATCTCCCCACTATATTACGCGCGCTTAATGGACACTTTCACAATACAAGCGGTACGTAAAGATGCATCGACCAGGTAACTACAATGCATATATGTACACACGTGTTCGCTAATGGCCGCGTATTGACGATGCGCCGCCAGCTCAAAGCAAACCTGATGGGTACGAATAACGAACCATTGTGTCGATCCGAAAATGCACTCCCCTCTTGCCCGTGTCTCTCCCGACCAGTCAATATAACAAATAACGTCCGTTATTTATATTTGGTATAATGAAGTTAATTTTACTGACTCAAGCCAGTAAGTTGTGTGTATACTTTCTTCCTCCTTAACGCTCGGCGTTGCATTGAGCACTTCACTTATAAACTTGAGTTTAGTTTAACAGTTTGATTTTATCACGTACTTTGTACGGTAAAATCAAGAGGGCTTCTCTATCTATTCTAACTCTCATTCACCGGATTTCTTTTTTCAATTGTACCAATTTCCACTTCATTAACTTTACGCAACAAACTCTCGGAACAAATTCAATAGTTGCTCAATAGTTTCCTTCCCAAGTTTTCTTCAAATGTCCGTCATTTGTTCACGTATTAGCACACGACCGAAAGGACGTGTTATGGCTCTACTTATATTCGTTAACAAGTATGCTAAAGTGGAAATGTGTGTGCATTTCCTGTACTTTTTTTATGAGTACACCGTCGCTAAAGAGTGTCGCGCATTTCGCTTTGTGTGCGCGTCACAAAAGGAGCCCGTCGCGCCTAGTCCTAAATGGGTAACTTCATAACGGCTCTTCGTTATTCGCGATAGCTCAACGGCGAAGTCGTGCGTAAGAAAACAAATTATAACTCGGCCAGCTGGAAAATCGCGTTCCTTACCGGAATAAATTTGCAAAGTCGATCGCCTTCGCGACATCGTATGATAAAATCAGTGACGCAAATATCAAGACAGTTCGAAATGTTATTTCGTGTTTTGCATAAACGCGGATAAATCTGTAGAGGAGAGAGAGAAAGAGAGAGAGATATTACCTTTACTGTATATTACAAATAAACAACATATTTGTTAAAATAAAATCTTTGTGATTAACTCAACCATCGATGCAAATACCAATTTTTTGCTTTTAAATTTTAAATATGAGTTTTATATATAAATTAAATAGTATGTAGAGGATAAAGAACTAGAAAATCGTCTGTAAAAGACAAATAATACGACTCCATGAAATCACAATTTGATTGTGAAAAAAATTCATTCTACATTACTAGCACATGGTGTTGTTAAATCGTGTGTCACGAATGTGATTTGTTCTCTCAATGCAGAGGGTTTAAATAAGTAGGCTAAAATTTGCATTTACGTGATGTACTGTGGCTAGAAAGACAAGACCTGTTTACGAGTGACTATTATTGGTGAAACAAAAGTTGTAAAAAGTGCATAAATTATGATTACTCATGTCTCACGATAATTTTTTTTGTATATAAATTTTGTTTTAAGCGTCCTATATCGTTGTTATTTTTCTTCTTATTATAGTGGAAATTTTTTAACAATAATAAAAAAAATAATATTTTAATATTAATATAAAACTTGGTGACAAATGTTTTATTTAATAATTGAATTTATGTAACACTGGACTCACACTTTATCTTCAGAGTATTTCATTCCAAATATATCGTTGACAATTTTTGAAAATATTTTGAAATTTGATTGCAAAATCGGTAGAATATTAATTGCAAGATTTATCAATGGAGAATAAAAGTATTTTTTTTATTTAATACCATTACTTCTTTCACATCAACAGTTAGTAATTTATCTTCTACAAGTTAAACAGATATGTGCCGACAAATGGTACTAAAGACAAATTATTATGCAGTAATATATTATTTTATTAAATGTAACAAAAAACAAAACAATATAAGTGTAAAAATAAAATTTGTTTCATTACACATAATACTTTATACATTATTTTTAACTTCAGCAGATATGAAATTTTGATGTTGACTGCAAGCAATCCTTCTGTTTGCTAGTTTGTCGACAGAGCATTAGCTCTGTCGGTAATTAATTATTGACAATAAAAATTAAACTATAATTAAATTACTTATTTATCAAAAAATGTATATTTATTAAAGGCAGGAATAAAATAATGCATTAAAATAATCGTTAACTTTGACTTAATAAATAGTACAATTGTAATAATATAATCAAAATTATTCTATTATTTATTTTTAATTTACTAGTATTAAAATGACGAAGACAATAATTACACAAAGCCTTTGCAATGGACATTCTATGAATTTTATTATTATGTCTTTTTTTCTACAATATAACTCGTATGCATATATACAAAGTTTTATTTAAAACGCTGCATTAGCGGATACAACTTATTTTATAAAAATAACAACGGTAACGAAAGAGAGGTTAAGAAACAATTAAATTTATAATATATCCAAAAGGATGTACAACGAAATGATGAAAATTACATTTTAGATAGCACACGTTCGCTCGATGATGAAGAGGCAGATCTTCATCAAGAACCTCACAAAATCATTCGTATCGTGCGATGCTTCTTTATAAAAAATGAACTTCATCTCGCTATTTAATTGCTCGTCTACGTCATACAGAATACACGTGTATACATATACAGTTTACTATACGTATACTATTTTCGTTTACAATATGATATATCAATCTAGATTTATTGTATACTCGTCGGCGCTTAACAGCTAAATATAGTTATACATCTTTCTTTGCATATTCATTTCTATATGTATACGTAGTGCCCATTATTTAACGTATGCAAGGGGGCAAAATAGGAACTGTGATCGCCTGATGTACCTTGTTCGTCCATTCACTCAAATATCCAATTATATGCGCCGTTCTATCAATTTTACCTGCAAGTACCTTATAACTATACATAATTTTAAAAATACCAGATTTTTTAAATAATCATTTCTGCTACCCAGATGTGATAGAACCTAAGAGAATTCGAGTCACAATTTTGTTTTACAAGCTACAATTTCTTTAGAAAATTGTAAAATCTTGAAAATAGTAAAAAAATCTTATAAATTCGTATATCAGTTTTAAACTGCAATAGAAAAAGTTAATATAATTGCCTAGTAATATCGGTGATGTAACAAATATTATTATTACATTAATACTTTTTAGTTAATGTTATAAATACTCAAATGTATTTAGAAGTCGTGTTCCAAAAAGGCAGATGAAGATATCGATTTAGCAGGCAGTTAACGTCGTTCAATAAAAATAAAAATGCCCTTTTAATATTCAATATAAATATTAGATATGGAATCTTAACATGTGATCGCACACGGAGCTTTCACCGGCGAGTAAAATGCTTGGACGAATACATGGTGCAATTTGCGTACAAACAGGCCGCAAGAAGGCACCGAGCAACGCAACGCACGAGCTCCTAAATCTTATGACGATTACGGAGAATGGCGACATACAAAAGAAAGGCACGTTACAGAATTTCATTGATCAGTGGTAGCATTTATCTCGGAACAAAGCCGACTAATTAGTTGCCTCTGTCATAAAAAAAAAATAGAGACAAGCGTACAGGTCTTTGCGTCAATGGGAGAAATTGCTGTCATTTGTACGCGGCTTTACCCGCGTCGACGCGGCGGCAATACAGGATGATTCGTTACTACCAAAGAAATGCTTGCTCGCGCTGTACGTGAAATACGCGACGTCGAATCGATGAAAACGTCGCGCGCATCCGTATTAAAGCCGAGCTTTTCTCTTACGCGGCGCGGCGTCGGTCGCTCCGAGATCTCCGAAGCGTATTCCTCGCCACGCGATAAATAGATTCACGTTGAAGATTACTGATCAGCCATTGAACAAAAATCTGCACGCAATAAGAATTAATAAGAAAAAAATTACAAGATATTGTATTTTAGAAAATTATAAAAGTATTCAGTTCACAAAAATTTTTTGGGGTGTTACATGATTTTTTTATTAGTCAATTTTAATATTTATTCCGAATATTGGTGAATATATTTCGATAGTATTTAGGTTTATCGGTTTATTAATGTGGAAATACGCGCGTTGCTGCTAATTAATCATTCATAAAAAATGGCTATGTGTAATATGAACCTTAATTTTGCACGCGCCAGTTCCGTTTTCCATTTACGTTGGTTAATCCGCGATTAACTCAACACACGTTGAACGTGATTAATAACATTACGTAAGATATCTACCTATGTGTAACTAAAATTATGGAATACACGCTCTATATATTTTTCCTTTTCTTTAAACATAAAGTATTTTACAGTATACATTATTATTCATACTATGCGACGAAGTAAAATTGCCCTTCGAGCAATTCGCCCTTCGAACGTGTTTGTCTCTTGACGCCGTGGCATCGATAAATTTCTAACGACGAAAATGCGTTGATGGCGCCTCTCGTTCATCGACTAATCGCAATCGCTTAAATTTAATCGTATCTCTGAAAACTAGCAGACTCAGCAAGCTGGAGATCTGCTCTCGTCTCTAATGATGTCCAACTCGATCTCACCCTTTTTCCTACTTCCTCAGAAAATTTCCTTTAATCATTCAGTATCAAATCTCGAAATATGTCCATGACAGCTCTCTACGGATAGAACAATTTTTTGAGTGCTTTTCGTACGAGCATTTTTCAAGTACTCTTTTCTTCCTGTTGCTACGCATGTTATAAACTATTTACGGTTAATTTTGTACTTTAATCGACTTCCGCATGATTTCGGTGAATCCCTGATTACATTAAATATGAAGAGAATTGTGAATCTCGACGTACACAAAGAGTGCGAAATGGAAACAATCATTAATGAATTAAATGAAATGATTTTTGAAAACATTCTAAATATAATGTAAAATATAATAGAAAAAAGGATTTTTTAAAAGGAACAGTAAAATAAGTAACCGATCATTTTCATTTATTATTACATTTTATACATAAATTTTACACA